CCATGGAATTCAACTCTGAGACTGGACAGACAAATTTACTACCTTTGTCATATTGTCCATGGAATTCAACTCTGAGACTGGACAGACAAATTTACTACCTTTGTCATATTGTCCATGGAATTCAACTCTGAGACTGGACAGACAAATTTACAACCTTATGTCATATTGTCCATGGAATTCAACTCTGAGACTGGACAGACAAATTTACAACCTTATGTCATATTGTCCATGAAATTCAACCCTGAGACTAGACAGACAAATTTACAACCTTTGTCATTGTTCATGGCCTAAGGTAGTGCCTGGCAAACAATGTTGTGATTTCTTCAAAATCCTTTTCAGATAGTGACATGAATGTGATGCGGGTGGATGAGCCAATATTCATGGGCTCATCATGGAGCTTGTGGAAAATGTCCCCAAGTTTAACCGTGTCGAAGTCACTTTTGTTTCGAAATCTGTTCACGCCGGGCTTGTCCTGTTCTAGGAATGTCATCTGTATTTGGCCTGTAGGTCCAGTCATGTTGGTTCTTGAAACAAGGCCTACAAACCAATAATTGTATTCATGGCAATATGAAACATACCACTGACCTATTTCTACCATGTCAAAGATGGGGGGTTCTAGGCCCAATACCTCTTCTACTACGTCCTGACAATCGGACAAGTATTCAACTTTCTGAAATGGCGGGACAATATCTGATGCCTCAGGTAGAGGGGATGCGACATAAAACTTAAGGACATACCCCAGGTTTGTGGAGCATCTTTCCACATATCTGACTTTCAACGTACCCTCCACTGGTTTAGATAAATCACAATCTATAACTGATTCAAATCTCTCCTCACCGACATGGATCACATTTATGTTTGACACAGTGGCATTTGCAAAATCTGCAAACTGCTTAGCAGAACTGATTACCACTTGATTGGCCTTCACCTTTCTAAACACTGTGTTTTTGACACAACCACCAAGCCCATCGACAGAGCCCTTACCATGGTGGCTCTCAAAATAATGCCAGCACACCTTCAGGTTGTCATTGAATTTGATCAGCTGATGAAAGCAATGTTTGCTTTTAAATTGTGCTGCGCACCCATCCGACCAGAAGTAGACTGTGTCAAAGGCCTGTCCCTTCTGTACGGTCAGTTCTAAAAGGTATTTATTTAAGTTGAATGCTACTGTTCTGGAGTGTTCACCTGAGGAAGTGACAAGGACATAATTGTCACAAATCAAGCCTGCACCAACCTTGCGATAAACACAGGCTGTGTATAGGGTGTATGACTGGCAGCCAAAATAGGCACTCTGAACAGCATTTTGCTGTCTATTATCATAGTTTTCAGAGAAATCAATGTGGATGATGATTTCATTGGCTTTCAAGCTTTCCTTCTGAGCTCGAAAGGCGGCATGTTGGTTTCTCTTCAGAAAATAGTGATATTTCACATCACTGATCTGTTCTTTCAAGAGGTCTACACATTCACTACCAGAGAGACGATGACCTACTTTTTCAGGATACTTTGTCCCTGCGTTTTTTTCCCACTGGAAAAATGAGATGAAATCTACTTCTCTTATAGACCCGACATCAATAACTGGACATTTAGTGCACTGACCAGTTGCACAGCTTATGTCATCAATGGAGCATGTTACCAGTTTGAACAGATCATGACAGTTACTTGGAAGCTTGGTCTCTGACACTGATTGTGCTTCTGCAAATCTAGGCCTACTAGCATTTATGCCCTGAATAAGGAGTTCAAGATTTTCACATCTGTCACACAGACATGACTGGTGTGGGATATCTTGCTGGTATAGAACATGCTTGGTTGCCTTGATCAACCTATGTAGTGTGGAAAACTTAATTTCTTCCCCAAATTTATCCTTGTAGGAGTCTGCATTTAGAATTTGCACCAGCTCATTTAAAGTCCAAAATAAGTAGTGCTTTGTCTTGTAACAGCTATTTCCCATGGTGTCTTTTCCAGTATAAACCTGGTCCTTCTGTCCGGGCATCGTATAGCTTATATCTTCTCTCTCCAAAAAGGAAATTACAAAGTCCCTTTTCTCTGCATCCAAGGCCAGGGGTCGGCCTGGAGATTTCTGCTTTGGAATGGTTTTAACGTTTGACAAAACGGTGGCTTTTTTCTTTGGGGTCAGATCATGAAGGATACCAGAAATAATGTCCATCATCTGGTTGTTGTCCTTAGGTAAACTGTCCTTTGCCCTTTTTAGTGACCTTGCTCGTGCAGACTTAGTCGTGTATGGTGTATCAGTATTGTTCTTTTTCTTTCGCTCTCGATCCGTTTTCAACTGCTGCCTGCGCTTTTGAGCATTTTCAGCTTGTTTCATAGCACTTCGAGATTTTTGTTTTCGAATTCGATCTTTTTCTTTACGTTCTCCTGAGTCTTGTTTTTCTCGATATCGCTTGCACTTTTCAGCATTGGATATTTTATTTTCTTTGCGTGGACGGCCCATGGTTTTTCTGGAAAATAAAAACCTATAATAGAATATGGCAGATTAGACCAGATAAAAAAATACCGGTTTCTCTATTTTCAAAAAGTTGTAGAGGCCACTGAAACCATAAATACATCATTTTGCCCATTTGGACAGCTTAAAATCTCAGTGGGCTATGGGTCAGCAGTTTTAGGCTAAAAAGCTATTTGTGCATCATTCCTTTTATAAAACTGTGTTCATTTTATAATTCACTATAATCATTACATTTCTAATTTTCAGCTGGCTGATGATGCTGAATTAAAAAAATTCATGATTCAAATCCACTGATGATTTGACATCTTTGTCCTTTGTTTTAGTAAACAAAATCCTGCCACCTATTGACAAATTAGTGAACTGACACCTATTGCATAATACCAAAACTAATTGTTTGTACTCACCTTGTGATGAAGAAGACTCAAATCCCTACTGCAAATTGTACTTCAGAGTGACTTGATTCATTTTGGTGTCGGACGGAAATAGTTTTTGTGTCGGACGGAATTATTTGTCATTAAGCCATTTCTGGTGTAGAGGGTTTATAACCATTTTATAATAACTTAGATTGAGTTTGTAATTATCTTTCATAGTTAAGCAGGTTTTAAATTTTTTCCAATAAACTGGTGAGTTTCTAACAAACTTTTTGCAACAAAAAATGGAAAATTGATGTATATCGCATTAATTATGCAAATTTTGTGGTATTAATATACATAGTGCCACAAGGTTTTATTGATCCAAAATTATATCTTGCATATCTTAGTAGAACTGAACTTGGAAAACTTTAAAAAATTTATTCTCAAAAAAATTCTGACAAATTTAACAATTTCCATCCGACACCAAAACTCCATGAAATTTTTGCCACTTTTCATGCGATAAACAGCTGCAGAGGCATTATTTTACGAAAAAATTCTAAAATCTCTTGAGCTGTGCATAGATGAGATGTATACACAGCCAATAAAAAGAAAAGTTTTCAATTTGATATCATTTTAAATTTTATTTGAAATGACACCCCTTTTTGAAATACACCCTGGTCACCAGTCTGTAATAAGTTATTTATTATTGAACTCGAAGGCATACATTTCCACATAATAAGAGATTTTGTCATGCCTGTGGTGGTAGTCTATCATATGTTGTAACCATCATTTCTGTGCAAAAAACATCTGCTCATTAAAAGCATTTATAAAAAATAATGTTATGGTTTAAATTTTATGCCCTGGGGGCAAAGAATTACCGTTGTGGCATCCATTTATACCTACAAAGAGTGAAATAGAGACCAAATTCTATTTAAAATTCTGTTAAATTGTTGCTAAAATGTAACAGCTCAGTGTTTCTCCTGGCCAAAAAGGTCTGTGAGGCAGTAACATTTTTGTGTGTGTGGGTGCTACGATTCGAGGTCATAGCAAAGCGAGTACCGTATGTTAAATTTTTTGAGAAAGTGGTGCAATTTGGTGCATTCTAAACTGTGAACGTGCTTCTGAACACGTCAGCGAGGCGGTGTTTTGGACAAATTTCTGTGTGGCGGCTGAGAACTTGAGCAAGGCGGCCCGCCTCGCTCGTGTCAATGCAGGGGAAACACTGAACCGGGTGGGTCATGGGTTGTTCAACAAAGTTGCTTAATGGGGGATCAGGGTGCTACGATCCGTTTGCTTAATTGTGCAGGTTTGTACTTTTCCTAAAGAGAGTTTACCCAGGAGAGTTCAAACGGCCCTTCCTTGAGTGACTCAAACAAGGCTACACTTGGTGATTTGTTGTTTCTAGTTACCAAATTTCACATCTCTAGGGTGCGTTGGTAGGTAGGCTAGAAGTTCAATGTGATTATGTTATGCTGCATGCACATGTGTAGTTGCACACATGTGTTTAAAAGTGTAAATTGTTCGCAGAATTTTACTTTTAAAAGGGGGAATAGGTCTAAATGTCAGGTCTGCCTGCTATTACTGTGATTAAGAAATTGTGTCAAGTGTACGCAGACTTTCTCAAGCTCAGCATGCCGGCTATTGTCGTGCTAATAATGCGGCACAGAGTGGCAATTGTTGTAGCTCTAGTTGTAGCTAGCCGTGACGGGCAAGCGCTTGGGTTAGGTGACTTAGGTCTGTGCGGGCATGCGTCACTCTAAAAGCTAGTCGGCAACTATCTAACGTGTTTAGGCAAGTCACGGACTTATCTGCATGCTATAACACGCTTCTGACATGCTCTATTTCATGGTGTGTGCAATCTACCTAATCATCTACCTTGTACACTAGCTAATGCCAGTCCCTCGCGGACGAATTCCGGCCGTAAACTCGAGAATAATCAGAGATATGTTTTGATAAAATTCTCGTGAATATCTGCTCTGGCTGTAAAAGTTTGTACTTTTTGCGGCGCGTGACGGTATTGCTCGAGGCGTAGACAGGACGCACACGTTAGGCCTGATGAGATCTATTCAGCTCCGCAACAGGTGTTCTAGAGCAATTTGAACGTGAAAGAAGTGCAAAGTTCTCTAACTGTCAGCGACAGCTACACGGCTCCTGGGCCTGAGCTAATCAGCTACGCGATCTGCGGGCTATCAGGGCGTTTTGTTGTTCTATTGAATATGGTGGCGAGTCAAGCAACGATTTATGCATGTGAAGTCAGCGTGGATAGAGGCGATAGCATGACAAGGTCGCACTCTACAGTATTTACTCTGTAGTACCTCGCAGCGTTTGATGATGGCGTGCCCATTACCCTGCGTGACGGTTGCAAACTTGCAAGGCAGACTCACTGGGTGGTTGACAAATGGGAGCAGACGATTTGAATCGCTTCCTGCCATAGCGCGTGTCCTCAAGTGACAATTCAACAGGGGGGGGGGGGCATAGTCGAGCGCTGGCTCACTGATCTCATTATCTTGCCACGAAATGCACAAGTGCCCCGCGGCAGTTGAAAATGCAGGCATCATCTTCAAAACGCGACCGTTGTTACCTGATTGGTGGGCGAGGGCGTGCATGCATTGATACGTACGGTAGTGAGCGTGGCGGGCCGCCTCAGTGGCGACTGCACCTTCGAGCGGTTGACATTGATATAGTTGCGTGTGTGCCCCGTTCAGCTCTAATCTCGCCTGTAGCGTAGCTGAGATAGTAACGGAAATACTACTACTCTCACTAACCGAGCATCGTAAGTGGTGAGTCACAAGTAGCACATACCATTAAGTGAGGTTCGCAAATGGAAAGTTGCGTACTACTTGCTACTACTCGCAAATAAATTCGTTGACCAGCGTTAAACTGTAGCTGCGGGCCACCGCAACGTACGGGTATTTATTTTCGTTTAATTAAGCTAGTGAATTATTGTGCGTAGGTGCGTATTATCGAGGTTGTATGCATCAGGATTATTTCTATGCATCATAAAAATTGTTTGTATAAATCATCATTGTTTGTTGTTTGTATGCATCATCACTGGTCATTGTTTGAATGCATCATCACTGGTCATTGTTTGAATGCATCATCACTGGTCATTGTTTGAATGCATCATCACTGGTCATTGTTTGAATGCATCATCATCATTGTTT